TCCCGGCCGCAGCGCCATTCTCCTCCTTCCTCTTCCTTGCTCTCCTCCTTCCCGTTAAGTCACGAACAAGACCGGTTTGGGCAACAAAACAAATCAAAAAAGAAAAGCTACGACCAGAACGTCTCTCTTCTTCGCTGTCATCTCCATTGCCTTCTCTTCCTCTCCTTCCTCCTCCAGGGTGTGTTGCAAAGAAAGAGAGTTACAGGTTTGGATACTGCACTTGGGGAAGGGGGAAGTCGTCAGACACCACAGGACGCCCGGCCTGCAAAGAGTGACGGAGCCGTCAGCACCAGAGCCAAGGAGAAGAGGAGAGAGGGACAGGGAGAGAGGGTGGAGGGAAGGAGAAGGGGGGACAGAGAGAGATGGAGAGAGGGAAGGAGAGAGAGGAGGGCAAGAGGGATGGAGGGAAGGCAGGACAGTTAGAGATGGAGGGAAAGATGGGGAGGGAGAGAAAGGAAAGGGGGAGAAGAGGGAAAAGGAAGTGGGGCAGAAGGGCAGAGAGGGAGAGGGATGGATGGAGCCAGGGGGAAGGAGGAAAGGCTCCAAACCCATCTGAAGCACATGCAGCCGGTCCCGGGTGCAGCCCCCCAGCCACACCCGAGGGCATTTGGGAGGAGCCCCCCATGCCCAGGGGGGCGCAGCAGGGCCAGACCCCCCCGTACCTCTCCGCAGGGCCAAGGTGAGCAGGGGTCAGTAGGGCCTGTTGGCATCTTTCGGCCGCTTTAGCTGGACTTTTAGCCTCTTCATGCCGATCTGGAAGCCGTTCATGGCCTGAATGGCTGCCTGAGCGCTCGTCGGATTGTCAAAACTGACGAAACCTGGGGGGTGAGGGATGAGGTGACAGAGGACTCGGGCACCACAAACATCACACGTCATCACTTCACTGCCCACCGAAGCATCAACGTCCTGTGTGATGCCGGTGGAGCCCCTGGCTTGGGGGGCAGGGTGATTGGCTGATGGCATCTTTGAGGACGTTGAGGTGACGGGGTCTGTGGGGACATCAGTTTAACGGCACCCACAAGGACACTAAGGTGATGGGATCTGTGGGGTAATGGGGTCTGTCAGAGTGATGGGGTCTGTGGGGACACTGGGATGTGATGCGTGGGCTCATGGGACACCAAGGTGACAGGGTCTGCAGTGACATCGAGGTCTGCAGGTCTGTGGAGACACCAGAGTGATGGAGCCTGTGGGGACACCAGGGTGATGAGGTCTGGCGACAGCAGGCTGACAAGATCTGTGGGGTCACCAAGGTGACACGGGCTACAGGGACACCGTGGTCCCAAGAGCAGAGCGAACACGGTGACCAGCTCTCCCCAGCAGGCATGTTGGGCTGAGGACACAGGGGACAATGTGAGAGGGGACAGCAGGAGGGTACATCCTTCTGTCCTTGCATGGAGCGGGACAAATAGCTGCCCTTTGGCCCCAGGATCGACAGTCACAGGGCTCCAGCCACCACACGGTCATCTGTGGGTGCTGCCCGAGCCGGACCCCTGAGCTGAGGATGCTGGGGACAGAGCCCTGAGCTGGGGACCAGGAAGAGCTGGATCTCCAAGCTGGAATATCAAGGAGAGATTGACCCTCAAGCTGGGATGTCAGGGAGAGCTGGACCTCTGAGCTGAGGACGTTGGGGATAGACAGACTCCTGAGCTCAGGACACTGGGGAGAGCTGGACCCCCAAGATGAGATGTTGGAGAGAGCTGGACTCCCAGGCTGGAGACCGGGAGACACAACCCTTGAGCTGGGCACGTTTGGGACAGCCAGACCTCCGAACTGGGACATCAGAGAGAGCCAGCTGCCCGAGCTGGGGACTGCGGAGAGCTGGATCTCCCAGATGGAATGTTGGGAAGAGCTGGACCTCTGAAGCTGGGGATGTTGGGGAAAGACAGATCTCCGAGCTGGATGTTGGGAAAATATGGATCCCCGAACTGGGGCACTGGGGAGAGCCGGGCCTCCAAGATGAAATGCTGGGGAGAGCCGGGCTCCCAAGCTGGAGACTGGGGAGAGCTGGGACGTGGAGGAGAGCTGGACCTCTACACTGGGATGTGGAGGAGAGCCACGCCCCGGGACTTACCAAAGCATTTACTCTGGTTGGTGGCACGGTCCACAAAGACTTTGGCAGAGATGACATTGCCAAAAGGCAAGAACATCTGCGTGAGCTCCGCGTCCCCGAACTCCTGGGGCAGGTGATAAATAAACAGGTTACAGCCCTCGGGACCTGGGTGACACACAAAGGACAGGCAGACGTCAGCTGCGAGGCCGGGGGGAGAGTCACCCCAGGTGGGCAGGGGGAGCGAGGAGCCAGCGGCCCCGCGGCAGGGTGCCCACCCCCCCTCACCTTCTCGCTGCTGCTGGGGGATGATGGGCGCTTGCTGGGGGAAGGCTTGGCTGATGGGCGCGTAGGCAGTGGGATAAGCTGCTGAGGAGAGAAACGTGGAGCTGAGACCTCGGCACCCCCCTGGGATGTCCACCACTGTCACCTCCCCCCGTCGAGCTGCCCTGGAGCTGCTGGCTCTGCCCTGGAGCTGCTGGCTCTGCCCTCCCCACCCCTGCCAGCACGGACTTGGCCTCCCAGCACGCCAGGGACATGGGAATGGCTCTTCCAGGAGGGCTGTTGGTGGCAGCCTTAAGGTTGAGAAAAGCTGGCACTTTTGGTTGATAAAACCAACCATTTGGGGTCCAAAACTTGATTTTCTGTTGAAAATCTGAAAGCCACTGTCAATCATCCTCATGAACTGGCTGCTGGGCTCGATGTGCTGCCACAGGGTGCTTTGACTCCCTTCTCCTGGGCAATCAGATTTGGCCAAGTGATGAACATCTGAAGAGTTCTGATGTCTTGGTGCCTCCAGGGCTGTCTCTGCCAGCAGGCTGGTGTTGTCATCAGGATCCAGCACAGAGTCAGCTCTCCACCATTGTCCAAACCTCCCCTTTTCCTCAGCTCTCCCCCACGGAGTTATCTCAGCCCCAAGAGCATCAAATCTCACTTTCCTCCACCCAAAATGAGGCAGGAGTGCATCTTGGGATGAGGGTATGGTGCTTTACACCACCATCATCACAGCCCTGGAGCTCCTGCTCACCACACCAACCCGCGCCCACACTGCCCCAGTGCTGTGTTTCAACCCCAAGGTGACGTTCGCCCCACAAAAATAAGGGTGAGGAGCAAAGAGTGGAGAGAGAGAAAAGAAGGGCAGAACAAAGTTCGAGACCTGCATAGTGCTGCATGCCGGCGTAGGCTTGCTGGAGGGGATCTGCCACCGTGGGGCTTTGAGCTGGGAAGAGAGAAGAAGGGAGAAGGAAGAGAGAATAAGGAAGAGAGACATGAGGATGAGCAGCTCCCATGGGAGAGGGCTCTGGCCCATGGAGGGGCAGAGCAGCTCCTGGCCGAGCCAAGAGCCATGAATCACAGAATGGATGGGTTGGAAGGCACTTGGAAGACGATCCAGTCTAACCGTTGCCCCATCCCTGCCAGGTCCCCGCTGACCCATGTCCCTTGGCACCACATCTCCATGGCCCGGAACCCTCCGCGGGGCTGGACGCTCAGTGCTGCCCTGGGCAGCCCGGGCAGCGGGTGGTACCTGGGTAGGGGTGGATGCCGTTGGTGTAGATGGTCTCGGAGGCGGGCTGCCCGTTGGTCTGCGGCGGCAGCGGG